GGGACGGAAGGTGGACTGTTTGCACCCAACCTGGCTGTTAAGTGATAACCCTAAGGTGTTTCGGGGCTTTTTGTACTCAAGACTGGGGGCTGTCTCTCAAACATTTAACCAATATATCTTTAATTCTTCCTTTATTATGATCAAAGATGCCATTTCAACAACTGCCACATGTATCAAAACCAAAACTCCATGGGAATCGAGTCAATTCCAACTCATTGCAACCTTGTACGGTAGCGTAAAACCCTAGGGTTTCCAAGGCTATAAATCACAACGGGAGCAGAAAGCCTCATCTTTCTCCTGCAGAGTGGCTGGTGAGTTTGAATTGCTGATCTTGTGGTCAGCAACCCAATGTGTAACCAACTGTGCCACCAGAGCCCCCTTTCTCATGCACCCTACCCAACCCAACCCAACTCAACCCAACCCAACCGACTGCCATTGAATCAATTCCAACTCATAGAGATGCTATCTAGGTCTTTGGAGGCTGGAGCACTGGTGATGTAGTGAGTTACAAGTTCACAAGGTCAGAAGTTTGAAACTGCCAGTTGCTCTGCAGGAGCAAGATGAGGCTTTCTGCTCCTGTAAAGGTTTATAGCTTTGGTAACCCACTGGGGCAGTTCGACCTTGTCCTATAGGGTCAGTAGGAGTCAGAATCGTCTCAATGGCAGTGAATTTTTTGAGTGAAAAATCTTTATGGGAGCAGATGGCCTCAGCTTTCTCCTGTGGAGAAGCTGGTGGACTTAACCAATGAGCTTGTAGTTAACAGTCCAATGTTGAGTGGACTTCAACCATCACCATCCTTGAATAGTTCTCATCATCAACAGAAGCTCAGAAGGCTCTCAGCCTGGTGCCTTCCTTCCTTTCTCTCTTTCATCTGCCCCTGGAAACCACCAATAAACATTGCTGTCTGGGCAATGGCCTCTTCTAAATATTTCCTATAAATGGGACCATGCAATATTTTTCCTTTTGTGACTGACTTATTTCACCCAGCACCATGCTTTCAAGGCAGTCAATCTATTTTTAGTTGTACACGAGAATTTATTTTAAAGACATGTACAGGGATTCTAGACTTGTTCTACATTTCTATGTTGCTTAATAGATCCCCAAACCCTTAATGTTAAAAATGGCTGAAACCCTTTCTTTGAGGGCATGGTAGACTCAAACAGCCTTGGTTCAAATTCTGGCTGTTAGTCGCAAGATGGGTGATATTAACTACCTCTGTATGACTCAGTTTCCTCATCTGTAAAGTGAGGCTAAGGAGTTCTGGTGGTGCTGCCGGTAAGCCTTGAACTGCTAACATGGTCGGTGGTTCAAACCCACCAGATGCTTTGCCAGAGAAAACTGAGGCTCTCTGCTCTCGTTGGAAATGACTTGATGGCTGTGGGCAGTAAGGCTGATGAACGGGTCTACCTTCTTGTGCTGCTGTCCTGATGAAAAGAGATATTAATGGAGGTGAAATGCACAAAAGGTTTGGAACAATAGCGAGTGATGGATGGTTCTGTAATCCCCAAGCGAAACACCAGCATGGTCATCATTCTTCATTCCCGTTAATCAGTGCACACGGCCTGCAGGTCATCCCAGGCTCTCAGCATCTTTCTCTCTGGCCTCCCATCGCATCCTAAGGCTTCTCTCCACATTCCTTTCCATTTCTCTCTCTCTGCAGTCACTTCTCTTCCTTCTTGGCCTACCTTCCTTTTACCTTGTGTTCTTGCTCAGCTCTGATTCAAAGGCCATCACCCCAGCATCTAGTTTACCTGTTGATTAGTTTCAAAGGGGTGGCATTCCCCAGGGAGACCAATCGGGTAATTTCTCTCATGCAAAATCCAGAATTTGAACTTCTTTGGAAATCTAAAGAAAAAGCAAGGTCTATTAATGCTAGGCTCCACATTTCCCTTTCTGTTTGTTTGTTTGAGATGAACTTGTTTGTCACTAAAGACTCCAAGTACATTTCAGTCTTACTTTTCCTACCCTCTCCTATCCCTCAACCTTAAAAAAAAGTTTGTAGCCACGCAGACCACTATTTAGGTTTGAAGGGGATAAGGAATCTGGAGGGATTTTTTTCTTCTTCTTTTGGTGTTTAAAGAAACACATCGTAGATATTTGCATGGCCCATCTCAAGAAATGAAATCAACAACAACATCCTGTTAAGCCTATATGTGGTTCTCTTCCCCTGCCCCCACCCTCATCCTTCCTTTGCTCAATATCCTATCCCTCCCCTCTCCCTTTCCCGCGCTCTTTCCCCCGGACTCCTTGAAGTCATCGAAGTCTTGTCTTTGTTTATCCTTAAAATAATGGTATTGTTAAATACGTATCTTTGTAAGATTGACTAAGTGTGCTACGCATAACTGTTCTCCAGTTTTGTCCATGTCTTGTGGTGTTCAGGAGTGTGGTCATTGCTTTTTATTATTGCTGAACAATATTCCATATACTGCACGTTTTCTCATGGCACCTACAGACTGTAGCTGGGAAGGCTTTATTTTGATGGAGTGTGAAGGTTTGGTTTTGCCTCAGTCTCCACCACTCCATGCTACCTCATACTGACTTCTTTACCCATATTCATATCTGACTTGGCTCCTGTCCGAAGTTGAGTTTGTGGCAGTGATATAATCTCCTGTCAACTTGAGTGAAAGGGCGGAGTCTAGCCTGTCAATCATGTCGCAGCTTGATGACCTCATTTGGAGGCGAGATGGAGAGAAATAGCTCACCAGAGGCCAGACACACTCTCTCTGCCTTCCCCTTCCTGCTGTTGAGACACTCAGAGAGCTGGAGGAGACACGTGGAGACCTGCGCCAGTGTTGAGATGCTTCCACTGCCACTGGAACCACAAGACTTTCTACCTACTGGCCTGTGATCTTTCTGCATTCGGCATCATCACATGTGCTGCATGAGTCTAAAGAGGAATTTCTGCATTAGTATCAGACACATGGGCTAATATCAGACTTACGGACTAGATCTGGACTGGGCTGGGATGTTTTCTCAATATACAATTATTCTTTTATATAAAGTTCTTTCTTATACACATGGGTGTCTATGAATTTGTCTCTCTAGTCAAACCAGACTAACACAGGGTCCCTCCAGATTTCTGACCAGCCCTCCCTCCGGAGCATGCCTTCCAGCTTGGAAGTCTTTTGCCTTGGATGAAGACTCATTTCCTGATTTGACCTCCCTCCCTTGTGTCTCAACTTTAGGTCACCTCCCCTCCTTTGGATGGGGAAGAGATGAAGAATGTGCATTTCCACCCTAATTTGTCCTTCCTTCCTTCTTCCTTGCCCAAAGGGAAAGAAGGGACCAGTTGGGGCTGAGTAGGTTTTGATGGGATTGTGCCCATGAGAGCTGCTCACTGACTGTTCCCTTCCTGTCTTCTTCCTCTAGCTGCAACATCCTGTCCCCCATGTGGTCTTCTAGAACCCTCCCTGTCCTGGGACAAAAGAAGACCCCTGGTGTTGTGGGTTAGGTGTTGGGCATTAATGAAAGGTTGGCAGTTGGAACCCCTCAGCTGCTCTACGGGAGAAAGATGAGGCAGACTGGCAGTCTGCTTTCCTAAAGATTGATAGTCGAGGAACCCCCCTGGAATAGTGGCACTCTATGTGTAGGGGCACGATGAGTCAGAATTGAGTTGATGGCAGTGGGCTTGGGTTTTTTGTTTGTTTGGTCCATGGAGGGTAGAGAAAGCAGAAGAGGCATCACGTAAAAGCCTGAGAATGGATATATGTATCCTGATTTTCAAACCACTCTCAAGCTCACTGCCACGGAGTCAATTCTGACTGATAGGGACCCCAGAGGACAGTGGTCATGTGGGTTTCCAAGACTGTGACTTTTTAAATGAATAGAAAGCCTTGTCTTTCCCTAAGGAGGGGCTGGTGGTTTAAAACTGTTGACCTTTTGGTAAGTCACCTAATGAAAAACCACCACGACACTGGGGCTCCACACAGTCATTCATATACTTTATTCTGCTTTAGCCAGAATCCTCTCTATCCTTAATTTACCCATCCACTTACTCACGCACTCAATGAATCACCTACACATCACCTACCTTACCCTAGCCACTGAGTTATGTGTTTGAAAAAGAAAGGAAAGAAAGAAAAACCACAACAAAAAACCCAGCTATAACAAAACTAACCCTGAGATCTCGGGCAAGGCATTTCCCTTGTGGGGCCTCGGTTTCCCCATAGATCTAACATCTCAAAGAAACTCCTTTGGTCTGCGGTTTCTTTCAACCTGTGAGTCTCTCCTGGCCCCTCTAATGCCCATCCCTCAAAGAAATCCGCAAACTGCCATTCTGCAAGCATTTTTTTGAGTTCTAGGGTGATTTCCCCATCCTTGAGTGTGCAAACCACAAAGCTTCTTGGAGAGAGGGTTACAGCGAACAGCACAGGGATTGGCTTTAGGAGGTCAGTGGGGAAGATGGTCAAGTGCAGGAGGGAAGGTAAAGTGGGGGTGCAGGAGGAGAGCAGCAGACTCCTGGAGTAGACTCACCTACCAGAGTGCCTGCGGCCAGATGCTGGGCCCATCCAGCTAAACCTCACACCCTCTTCCCCAGCTCCGGTGGCTGAATTTCAATCTGCATAATTTGTTCCTGTAAAGTGGGGGTGGGAGGGAGTGAGAACTGGAGGGTAGAGAGGGCTGAGGTGGGTAGGCAGGGGGATGGTGACCAGAGGAAATCCTTGGAGGGCAGGGACCCAGGCTGGGGTGAAGGGGGGTGGCTGTCAGAGGGAGGAGGTGGAGTCAGGAGGAGAGCAGCAGGCTGCAACTCCCAGATAACATTCTGCCCAGTACAGCAGGGGTCAATTTGGTCCACTTTGCCTGGTGACAAGAAGGGGGGGCGGGGAAAGCAAAAAAACAAGTGGGCTGTAACTTAGAGATCTTAAGTTTCCCAAGTGAGGGGCTGGTCTGGAGGTGGGAGGAGGGAGTGGCGAGCCAAGAGGAGACAGAGACTCAGGAGGGCGCAAGGAAGTGTCTTGGCTGGGCTGGAGGCTGGGGAGGGTGGAGGGAAGCCCGCAGATGAGAGGCATCCTCCAGGGCCCAGGCCATCCCAGAGGGAGCTCCTGGAGCTCCGGGAAGGGCTGTGTCCACCTTCAAACCTTGCCCACTCTCTGAGGCTGCACTTAGAAGCTCAGGGCCCCTGCCGAGTGGCTGACTAAGCCCTCATTTGCAACTAAGCCTCAGGGCTGGTCTCCGAGGACCCCTGCTTCTCTTCTCTGCGCTCCCCAGCATGGAGGACAGCGGCGGCGACGGCGGTGATTTTGACAACTACTATGGGGCCGACAACCAGTCTGAGTGTGAATACACAGACTGGAAGTCCTCCGGGGCGCTCATCCCTGCCATCTACATGCTGGTCTTCTTCCTGGGCACCACGGGCAATGGCCTGGTCCTCTGGACTGTATTTCGGAGCAGCCGGGAGAAGAGGCGCTCAGCTGACATCTTCATCGCCAGCCTGGCAGTGGCCGACCTGACCTTCGTGGTGACCCTGCCGCTGTGGGCCACCTACACCTATTGGGATTACGACTGGCCCTTTGGCACCTTCTCCTGCAAGCTCAGTAGCTATCTCATCTTCGTCAACATGTACGCCAGTGTCTTCTGCCTCACGGGCCTCAGCTTCGACCGCTACCTGGCCATCGTGCGGCCCGTGGCTAATGCGCGCCTGAGGCTTCGGGTCAGCGGGGCTGTGGCCACCGCTGTCCTGTGGGTGCTGGCCGCCCTCCTGGCCATGCCGGCCATGGTCTTACGAGCCACCGACCACCTGGACAACAGCTCCAACGTGCAGTGCTATATGGACTACTCGCTGGTGGCCTCCGCCAGCTCAGAGTGGGCCTGGGAGGTGGGCCTGGGGGTCTCGTCCACCGCCGTGGGCTTTGTGGTGCCCTTTACCATCATGCTGACCTGCTACTTCTTCATCGCCCAAACCATTGCCAGCCACTTTCGCAAGGAGCGCGTCGAGGGCCTGCGGAAGCGGCGCCGGCTGCTCAGCATCATCGTGGTGCTCGTGGTCACCTTTGCCCTGTGCTGGATGCCCTACCACCTGGTGAAGACCCTCTACCTGTTGGGCAACCTGCTGCACTGGCCCTGTGACTTTGACCGCTTCCTCATGAACCTCTTCCCCTACTGCACCTGCATCAGCTACGTCAACAGCTGCCTCAACCCTTTCCTCTACGCTTTCTTTGATCCCCGCTTCCGCAAGGTCTGCACCTCCATGCTCTGCTGGGACCACCGCGGGTGTGTGGGGGCCTCCCACAGCAGCAGTGGGGAGAAGTCGGCCAGCTACTCCTCGGGGCACAGCCAGGGGCCCAACCCCAACTTGGGCAGGGGCGGGGAGCAGATGCAGGAGAAGTCCATTCCCTACAGCCAAGAGACTCTGGTGGTTGACTAGGGCTGGCATCCCTGCGTCCCAGGGGCTCTGCCCCCTCACCTTTCCCTTTGCTTTCTGAAAATCAGGTAGAGTGACTCTCCTTCCTTCTGGCCTGCCTTCGCGCCTTTCCCTGCCTCTCAGATAGCTCTGTCTGGCCCCTCGTACTCACTTAGTTCCCAAAGGCTTGGGTTGACTGGAAGGAGACTGGTCCTGTGGACTCACTTGCTCAGTAACTGCTAGACAGTGTGTGCACGGCCTCAGAGCCTCAGTGTCTCCATTGGTAAAAACTAGGGGTGGTCACCCTGATCTCAAAGTATTGAAGTGTGAGACTTTGCTTCAGGAGGAGCTAACTCGCCTTCACCCCCCACCCCCTTTCTGGAAGCTTCGGGACATTTTTCTCCCTGCAATCTCTCCCCTCTGGGCCACTCCCCTCCCGCATTTTTACACTCAGTCCTCACCCTCTGCCCCTGACTCCCCTTCCTAGATCTTTCCTCACCCCTCTGTTGCTCCTTCTCCCCCCTTTTGCCTCTTCCTTCTGAAGACCCCTAAGGGTTAAGGATCAAGCAGCCTGAAAGCTTGTTTCAGGAGTTAGGGACTGTGGTGCGTGTGGGCTGCATGCCAGCTGGGAGCTCCAGGATGTTCCCTAAAATTGGATCAGGTCGAGTCCTTTCAGCCCCTGGTACTAAAAGCAATATCCAGCTCCTCTTCAGAAAGGGTTTCTTTCCTGGAGCCCCTCCCAGGAGTCGATGAAGTGTGCATTCTGTCGTTTCCCCAGGCTCCTTCATTTAGCCTCTGTTTTCTGCAGGGCTAGGAAGGTGCAGGGCTGATAAAACTCTGACACCAAGGATGGTGTCACCCCACGAATGGGGCTTTGGGGAGGGAGAAGGAATGGACAGCAAGTGGGACTGAAGGAGGGGGTGTGTGTTTGCGTGTAGTCCATATGCTGCTTGGCTCCCTTCCCCAAATCCTGGCCCTCCCACCCTTTTTTCAGGTTTCTAGTGGTGAGCTTGTCCCCCAACTCCCCACCTCCACCCATCACCTTGGGCTGGTTTACTTGGGTTCTGGTGCTACTTGGTACCAAGCATCACTTTGGCTGGGCTGGGGTGGGGAGGCTTGCTCTTTAAGTGTATGTATGCCCATGGCAATTCATTATCCATAGAGCAGTGATCTGTGTCCCTTGGAAAACATCCCCCTCCGCCTGTCACACACCACCGCGTCTATCTGCTTCGCACAGTCTCCTCGCGCGATACAACCGAGTCCACTTCCTGCTGGATTTGGGGGCTCAGACGGCTGGTCCGTGGACTGCTTGCACTGGGATCTTGGCTAGGAGGTTTCCCCGTGCAAGGGTCTGGTGCCCCAGGCTTGGGGAATTCCTATGAGCTGGTCCCTGATGGTTTTCTAACTCAAGGCAGGACGTCTTTTTTAAAAGTGTCCGTGGCCCCTTTCCCTATTCCTCCCCACTTTGCTTTGAGTTAGTGAGCGTTTCTCTCTTTGATCTTCCTGTTCCTAAGGAGGCCATGGGGTAGCAAGTGGGGTAGGGTTCACCCCTGGGATGGGACCTGTTGGCCTGTTGGCCTCTCCTGCTGGGCGTGTGTGTGTGTGTGTGTGTGTGTGTGTGTGTGTGTGTGTGTGTGCGTGCTTGTGTGCCCACGCTGATGGATGGCATCCACACTGCTGGAGAAACCTTGAGGAAGAAACTGTTGGGGGATTCTTTGTGAGATGGGTGCTGGGTGTGCATTCCGGGTTTTGTTTCTGGAAGACTCGACACAAAGGACAAGACAAGAACCACAGAGGCAGGAAGCGCCCGGCTTGATGGTCATGGATGTCCTGAAGTTTCCTGGGACAGAGCCAGGAGAGGGCAAAGGTCTCCTTTCAGCAAAGTCTCTCCATCACAGACTAACTAGAATTTTCCACAGACTCACCGACTTTGCCCAGGGCTGTCCTGAAAAGATCCAGTCAGGGCAGGCGGAAGCTTCAAGAAAGGGCAGAGGGTACCCCTCTGGGACCCTACAGAGACTGCTTGCCTGGAACTCAGGAGTCTGGGGAGAGGAGGATGAGGATGCTGCAGGCTAGGAGATCCCCCCACCTCCCTACATCCTGGCTCTTCTTGGGAATGTCTGCTGTTTGCTGACCTTGTTAATCATTGTGGCTCATCCAAATAAATCTGTTTTGTGAAACGGTTGTGTCCAAAGCCTTCCCTCACAAAAGGGTCTTGGGAAAGGAGAATGCCGCCAGTTTGCAAATGGTGCAGTAGGGCAGACATGGGATGAGAATGGGGTTAGGGAACGAGGAGAAGTGGGATCTCAGAGTAGGGATTTATGTGGGAACCTGGGGTGGGGGATGGCAGAAAGGGGGAAGAAGATGGAGGGAGCAGACTGTTCCCCAGGAAAGGGAGCAGATGGGAGTTGGATTGGGGAGGGCACAGGAATAAAGAACGTCCTAGACTCAGGAAAGCTACAGGCCATGCTCCTGAGCTTGGAGTCTAGCCCAGACCTGGGGTGGGGGTGGGGGGAGCACCACCATCTCTTCCCATCTTTCCTCCGTTCATGCATGCCTTTGTTCACTTACCACCCCCTGTGGACTCATTCAAGATCCCTGGGTCCTGCAAAAGGTTTACTTTGGGCTACAAACCCTTAAGATGGTGGCTGGAACCTACCTGAGGATGCCGGGGAAGAAAGACATGGCCTAGGAGGGCAGGTCTACTGTGACACCTGGGGCCACCGTGGGTTGGGATGGACTTGATGACCACAGGCATGGTTTGGGTATGGACTCCATTCATTCATTCATTCATTCATTCACTCATTCATTCATCGATTCATTAGTATGAAGTGAACACCCACCTAGTTTGAACCAGAAGTTTAAATCTTGCTCTCCCAATAGAGCCCTGGCTGTTTTATTTTGTTTATTTTTTAAAGTTAACAAAAACAACGTGAAAAAAGAAAGCGCAGCCCCCCCTGAAGGATCCCTAGTGGCTCAGCCAGTTAGGTGTTGGGCTGCTAACCACAGGTTGGTGGCGCAAACCCCCCAGCTGCTCTCTAGGGGGTAGGGGGAGGATGAGGCCGCCTGCTTGCATTCAGATGGACAGTGTGAACCTTGATCTCAGGTTTGCTCTGGGGTGGAATTGACTTGAGGGCAGTGGATGGTGTCATCCTAGAACTTTACAATGACAGTCTCCTGCTCTTGCCTCCTTACACAAAGCCTCATGCAATGACTTGTGGGAGAGGCCACATTTGGGGACAGCTCCACCCGGAGAGATTCTGCCCAAATTAAAGTGGGCACAATAAATCAAAGGGTCGGGACTTGGGCCCTGGTAGGTGACCTATTTGGGGCAGAAAAGGGGTGCAGGGACCCTTGGGGGGGGGCGTTTTCTGTCCAGAGCTGTCCCCTACCATTAACCAAGGCCTCTGGGGCCCTGTGCTCAGGGAATTACTGAGCAGAACCGACGACCACGGGAAAGGCATCGGTTTTTGATGTTTGCACGCTGAGCATCTTCCAAACATTGCCGCTTTGGTCCTTGTGGCTGTCCTCCGGAGGCGCATTTGTACCTCCTTTTGCTGAGAAGGAAACTGAGGCTTAGAGATAACCCTTGACCAGAGTCCCACAACGAGTTCCTACAAGAGCCAGGTCTGCAACCGGCTGAGTGTCCAGCCCCAAAGCCCCCTATCTTTACCGAGATGCTCCTCTCAACGCACCACAGAGGCAGCATGGTGGCTGAGGCGAGGGGGGCGGGTGGTGGTGGTACAGGGAAGATGTTCAATGATGAGGAAGGAGAGGGGAGCTGGAGAAAGACGGGGTAAGAGGTAGGAGGGGAATGGTGGAAAAGCAGTGTGTGTGTGTGTGTGTGTGTGTGTGTGTGTGTGTGTGTGACAGAAAGCCAGAGTGGGAAGAGAGAGAGAGAGGCAGACAGAGAAGACGAGTGGAGACAAAGTGGAGAGTGAGAGAAAGAGACAGACAGAGACAGCACTGAGGAGAAAGACGGATGAAGTGAGAGACGAGGAGGGGAAACTGGGAGGGAGGGCAGAAGATGGAAGACTGGCTCGCAGCGTTTGTTTTCCCGATTTTGAAACCACCAGGGAAAATCCTGACGGAATTGACAACTGTAACAACAAGCCATTTGAGCTGTTGTTGTTGTTTTTCCAAACAGATGTTGTCAAAAAATTCACCAACCCTCTTGGGAAATTTCCTGTAAGTTACCCAAACAATTATGAGAGCAGAGAGCAATTCGTTTGTTCCTGCGTCTCTTCACTCCCTCCCTCTCTTACCTCCTCCTGCCTCGTCGGTTCAACGTGCCCTTATTTATGACTCACAGGGTGCTGGACACCCCCCACCCCACCCCCCACCCCAGGAGCAAATGGCGACTCACACCCAGTCGGCTCAGAGGCTGGTGGTGGAGACCACAGTTAAGGGAGCGATTCTAATCAAGGGTGAGGAAATGCTGAGGGGAAGGTTGTCTAAGGGCTTTGAGGGCCCCTGATGGAAACAGTGGTATAAGTCTAGGTCGGTGGCCTCAGGAATACTTGAGAAAGGGTGAGACAGACAGAATGCCGGGAGCCTGCCCTTCTGGAGGGGAGGGGTGAGGTGGGCGGTTCATAGGGAACAGGTTCTGGACAGAAGGCACACCAGGGATATGAAGGCATAGCCCCTCAGAGGACTTGGAAGAAGACCCATCCTTGTTTTCACCAGGCCTCTCCCCTACACCTCCCGTCTGAGTGGTGGGTCATTCAGAGAAAGCTAGAAAATGCCGTTGGTGTCTCAGCAGGTGGAGGATAAGCAGATTGGGGGCTAGGGCTAGAATCTGGGTCTCTGGATAATTTGGGGGGCCAGGATTGTTTACTACCTTTGGATGACTTCCAGTGTTTTCTTCCCCTGGGACTGAGCTGGTTTCCTCTAAAACTGCTCCATGGTCTCCTGAGCAGGGCTTGGGAGTTCTCCAACCTCTCACTTTGGCTTTTTTTTCATAAC